CAGTATGAGGCTGTCAATTTAGTCAACCCATTAGAGAAGAAAATTTCGCGTTTTGTTTGTAGGTCTAAAAAGAAGAGTGGACACATTTTTAATAGAATACTATAAAACAAAATTGCAGGTTGTCATGAAGGTGGCGCAAGTAGTTGCATGACAAGAGCCATTTAATTCTGGTATATTTGCTCATATGAGGCTTGTATTACAATGTCAATGATCATAAGAGTGATCACAGTCAGTTATATCCAGACTTACTGTGAATATAACCAGATTTAATATATTTGAATGTGCTTTAGTTTAAATGATATTTTTCACATTGTAAATAGCATGTTTTAAACATTATTTGTCACCATAATAACAAATTGTCACTAAAACATGCACAGATGAGACTCCAGGGCTTCATGATGATGGTATTCATGCACTCGAATATCATTAGTGTCAAAGGCCTCTACAGAAACATGTTTGGGCCCAGCGAATGATTTGATATTGCTTTTATAACAGCCTCTAACCCGAACCCAAACAGACAAAACATGACAGCAGAAAACAATCAGGGAGCTCACATCTGCTTAAACAATGGGTCTACTGACACTCTTACTGAGGCCTTTCCTGCTGATAAATCTGAGTCAGGAGATCAAGGGTTAGGGCAAAAAGTCAAATGTCACACTAAAAACATCCATTCTGACCCAAATGCACGAGTAGAGGAATTCAGTTCTTGTGTTGTTTAACCACTATTGGCCAGGGCTGCATTTCCCAAAAGCATCGTAAGCTTAAGTTGATCGTAGAACCTAAATTGATCGTAGCTCCATTGGTGACTCCATACGATGCTTTTGGGAAACGCAGCCCAGTTCAAAAAGAACACATCTCCATAAGACAGCATTGTCAACATTGAAAATATATAGGCTACACTACCATTCAAAGTTTGGGGTCATTAGAATTTTTCTTAAGAAATTAATACTTTTATTCAGCAAGGATGTATGAAATTGATTTAAAAGGACAGTGAAGACATTCATAATGTTACAAATAAAAAAAATTGAACTTTCAAACAATGTAACCAAAAATGTATCACTGTTGCCACAAAAATACTAATCAGCACAACTGTTTTCAACATTGATAATAATAATAATAAATGTTTCTTGAGCAGCAAATAAGGTGTGTTACAATGATTTCTAAAGGATCATGTGACTCTGAAGACTGCAGTAATGGATTTGTCTGCTAACAACATTTACACAAACTGATTCATTATGACAACACTTACCCACCAGACTATCATCATGGTAAATGTATTAAAACGATCATGTGAGAAGTGCAATTGAAGCCACCATGAAACAAATGAAACCCCAATCACAAAAGCTTGCTATTTATAAGATATTTGATGACAATATTAGTCACATTTATAGGTACTTTTGCTTCAAACTGCTTTGTTTTCTTACAGACAGTTCACTTAAGTCTTACATACATATTGAGAATATGCAACAGTAATCATTAAATAATTAATTAAAACAAATAAACTGTGCCAATCATTGATGCAATAGCCTTGCAATATACCGTAAAGGAACAAAGTCAAAAGATGCGGTATGGAGGTGAAGTAATTGCTCTACAGAATGCACTGTTGACCAGACAGACTTCATTAGCTAATGGATCTGCCTTGCATTAATCAATTCACAATTCCAGACAGTCCTCTGAGAGACCAGACTGTCTCTATTCTCCTTTCTGCTTCTCTCTCTATCTATTAAACACACACACACTCTTTTGTCCTATGCCATTACTGTCTATTCCCCATGGACAAAACCTTAATATCTTCTCACCCTCATATTGTCTCACAACGTCTGTCTACTGTACATGTGTGAAATTAACTTCATGGAATAACTGAATTAATTAATCTAACAGGGAAATGCATTTGCCAGAGAGACAGAGCTGAATTAAGACCTCAGAGATGCAAAACAATCCTCTGCTTTGGAGTAACACAAGAAAATTTGCACATCCAGTGTGTATTTACAGTACACATAATTTTCAGTATTTGTATAGTGTATGCGTGCATGTACTGTCCCTGAGCCTCTGAATGTCCTTGTTTGGCAGATGGGGTGTCATGGCTGAGTTCTGCAGGAGGTCTGGACTGAGAACTCCTGTGTCTGTGGCACGACATAATGTGCCATCTGAGAAAAAGGCCCACACCATGGCATCTCATCAAAAATTCATCATCTTCATACACTCAGGGGGCTTCTACTATCCCCAGGGAACATCTCCCATTATCATAACATTGAATATAAAAGACTGAATGAGAAGACTATATTTATGAGTTCCATTTGACTAAAATGAGTGGGGAGAAATATATCAAATCAGACGATATAAAAGTAAGAATTAACAGCAGGCTGGTGGAACCTCTCACATGAACTAAGAGAAATAAAAATCATTAATATAATATAATATAATATAATATAATATAATTAATATAATTAATATAATATAATATAATATAATATAATATAATATAATATAATATAATATAATATAATATAATATAATATAATATAATATAATATAATATAATATAATATAATATAATATAATATAATATAATATAATATAATATAATATAATATAATATAATATAATATAATATAATATAATATAATATAATATAATATAATATAATATAATATAATATAATATAATATAATATAATATAATATAATATAATATTAATAGCAGGCTGGTGGAACCTGTCACATTAACTTAGAAAAAATCAAATTAATCAGGAAATAATTAAGAGAAAGCAAGATAAAAGCATTATCAGACTTGTTTAGTAAACTATTGCAAGCGGGTCACAATTTTTTTTTTTATTCTATAAATCTGAAAATGATTATTTAACTTTGTTTCTTTCCTCTATGGACACATAAAGCTTAAGCCTTAAAGTCTGTTAATTCCTTTCCCCCTGACTGTAAATTATAGCGAGTTTAATGATATTATATTAAGCCTTCCATTCTTCCTCCACATCACGTTACACAGCTGCTGACAACCATCAAACGCATTCTAAAATTAGAGTGAGAGATTATTACTGAAATATATCCAAGAAACTTCAATAGCTTGATTCCCACAGTAACCTTAGCTATTCGTTTTCATATTATCACTGAATATAATCCAAGAGCAAATGTGTTGCATTGTCACCTACTATGACTCATATATAGGCTTGGATTAACCTATTATCACTTGAGCCATTCATACAAACTTGCTAATATGCTTTAACTAATGTAGTAGTCAAGATTTTTGGTGGGATCATGTGATGAAAGAGGGTCTCAAAGGAGATCTATCTGCATTCTTACAGGTTACAGGGTCGCCTTACAGAGCAGTAAGGTAGGGGAACAAATACTCAGCGCAACAATGAGGGAGGAGAATGTCATGACCTCGAGTTGGTCTGGTATGTTTGTGCAGCGTATGCAACTCATTGGGCAAGCACAGCTGACTAAAAAGAGAAAAAAATAAAGGCAAACATTTAAGTAAGAGGAAACATGGTTAAATTGAATGCTTAGCTGAGAAAAGTAGAGAGAGCTTCAAACAGAAACTTTCACTGATTCATGTGGTCACAGATTATCCTTTTAGGTTTATATGGGCCCCAATTGTACATTGAGGTATTCACAGATTAGATTTTACAAATGTATTTCATGGTGCAAAAATATACTAGACTCTTAGGGTCTAACCGACTAACTTTTTTTTGAAGCAATTAGATTAGAAAAGGGATTGTCCTAACAAAGCAAATGGCACTGAAGTCCTGATACAAACTTAACTATCAATACGTTCATAGTCCAATAGCCCTAGTTCTAAGAGGAAAAAAGCAGCTTTGTCAGGTTTGTTGAATGAAGCTTGAAATAAATAGTTTCGCGGAATGATTTATAATTGAGAGCTTGAGAGAAAACACAGTCTCTCCAAAAAGAAAAAAAAAACTTCCTTGGAAAAACTTTCTGTGCACACGCCATTGAATTTAGTCTAGTCAAGCAAACCGGAGCAGGAAAGGTCAGAGTTCAGGGAGGGGAAGTCTTTGTTTCTTAGGTATTGTCCATGTCAACATATTCTGCCGGCATGTGAAAAACTATACAGACAAAAAACACTGCGACTGAAATCGGAGCTACACTTACATGTACTCCGCTGCAATATGATTTATTTTATAAAATACTTAATATGTCATTTCCACAGTCCACATGTTGTGTTTTAACTTGCCTTTAGCTCATGATTTGTAATTTACCTCATAGTTGAACTTTGCTAATATGAAATCCTGAAATGGAATTACTTTACAAATTATAAACAGTCCTTTACATTCCAGGAACACTTCCCAAACTAAGCCTGTGCAAAAAATCAGTCAGTTTATGATCCCGATAGTTGTTCCAGCTGGCTGAAAACTCAAGGTAGCCCTGTTACAAACAAGCAGAGACAGAGTCAGAATACCAGAGCAGATATGAGGACAAGCTGCCATTTAATGGAATGCATGGACCAGTTGGAGTTCATCAAGGGGGGAAAAGACAGGTGAAAAATTATCAAAATTAATTTGTTAAAAAAAAACCACACAAATTTTGGCACCCTCACGGGACCCAGCTGTGTCTTAAGTGTGTAAACATGTCCTGAGTAAAACTTTTACTGGAAAACCTGCATCACCTAAAGGCATCCTGTCCTGATGTTTACAATTAAGCACATGTCTAGTTCTTGTTAAAAGTAAATTAGTTAATCCGTAAGTGTGTACTAGGTCTCAGCAAATTTCAGAATTTGAAGACTTGCTTTCTATTCAGTTGGAATTCAAATTATAGGTGAACCAGCCTTAGAAGCAACTGTGATTTGATCTAGATTTTACCACTTACCTGCATTTCCAGTGTAATTAGCCCTGAATTAGTGTATTAATAAAAATGGGTTTCCATAAAATGGCTCATAATATCTGAAGTACAATAATAACTGAACAAACTGTTTTATGTATATGAAGAGCCATGAAAAGGAGACACAACTCATGATACTTTTACGACAGTGTCAGCGGCGGTAACCATAACAACAGGTAGAGAACATTTTCCGACAGAAAATGGCGACTTACACATGAGGACGTGCAGTAAGAAGTACTCGGCAATGACATTTAAGTCATTACGTATGTTATATTATTAGGCTCCGTTTCACTCCTATTCTGGATTGAATGTTTGTGCCGTCTCGGTAGGAGACATTATAGAAAGGCGATGAGTAGATCTGTGATTCAAGAGAAGGTTGCTAAACTCTTAAGCAGACAGAATGGAAAACCCGTACTGAGACCCATCAAACCTCTGGCACTTAAGAATGAAGTCGCCAGCCGCAGGCTGAAGAAAGGAGGTTAGGAATTTTTCGATTTAAAATGTATGTGTACAAAAACTGTTCGGTGTCAGTTAGTTTCTTGGCCTCTTCTACTGGCCTGCTTTAGATCGAAACTGTTACAGAATTTACCTTAAGTTTTTTTTTTATTAATTCACTATTATACTGTTAACTATTTATTCGATGTGTTGAATGTATGTAATATTTTATGCACATTTGTGAAATATTACGTATAACATTTGTCAATACAGCGTAAAGGTCCCCTGTTTAGCCTTTAAAAGCCTGACGTTTAAAATAGTAATACTTATTTAAACGGAAAAGTTTATTGGACATTTATACAGAATATAAAACAAAATCTAAAAAATTGCCTGTTTCATATTTGATACATCAGGCTTTTGTGGCCCAAGTAGTATGATATAGTAAGTGAGGCTGTAGCGCACATTCGAGAAGGGAAAAAATACCTCGGTTTTATTCAAAGCTCCAAGCTGAGCAATTACATATAATCTGGTGTAGTTGTTATTATTTATATGGCCAAAAAGAAAGACTAAATGTGATAGCTTATAAAGAAAATCACTGAGGTTGATTATGATCAAAGCTCAGTAGTTTTAATTGTGGGGGAAAAATATATATAATGCAATGCAATACATTGATGCTGGAGCGATGTACAAATACATCTTCAGTCCAATAAATGTTCTTGAAATATTAATAACAAGATAAAAGTAACATTACATGTAGTTTAAATAAGCTGTTAAAGATTTCACAGCAAAATTATGTGTACCAGTACCTGAAATCAGACATTTTTAGAATTAGAAAAAGGCCGTTTACTTGCTAACATCAGGCATGTATTAGATTGTGTAGAAGGTTTTCCATCAGTTTTGATCTTGTTTAGATAATTTAGAGGCCTTAGAAATTCATATACTTGTATCTAATATGATACGAAAGGCTTTATATGGTTGGTTAAACATTGTGCTTGCTAGAAAACAATCTCAGATTTACATCTAACTACAATTTTAATGTCAACCAAAGTCAGTTGTAGTTCAATTTGAAAAAAATATTTTTTTAAGCATGAAGATACATTTAGCACTTATACTTTCATTAAAAGTACCGTGATGCCACTCAGTCTTCCTTTTAAAAGTAACTGATTGGCTAAACTAAAATTATATGCATGCACTAAATTAGTTTTGCTTTTCTAAATGGGACTGGAAATACAAGTGATGGTGATTTGCTTTTTAAGGCAACATCGAAAGCCTGTTGTAATGCATTGTTTTGCTAAACCCTTACGTGGTGATACACACACTCTTTGTTACAGAGGCCACCTGTGTAACGGAAATGTCATTACTTCTGGCTTGCTGGAAACAGAATGACTTCAACAACTCCGTCTGCTCTAAAGAAGTCTCAGTCTTCTACAGATGTGTTGAAAAGGTAACTTAGGAACAGCCTATTCATAGCTGACAGCAATTTAACATCCTTAATTAACATGGTTTTGATAATTACATGGGAATGTAATGAACAACCAGATTTTCTCTGCCATTTCCTGATTATGGCGAACACACTTCCCACTTTGCAATGCAGTTTCCTGCTAGAGCTTTCTTCTTTTTTTTTACCTCCCTCATCTGTTGTTTCCGTGTTTATGGCATCTTCACGCATCTAGTGAGATCAAGAACTTGAAAGCTAATTGACTTATATTAAAGCCTTTGAATTGGAATAAATTCAACAATATTTAACATTGTTTCCTAATTTCACTTGTTGCAGGCGCAGAACATGGCCAAAGGAAAGCAGGGAACTCAGGGTCGACTTTTGCCTAAAGAAGCCAACACCTTATTAAAACGATTTCCCAACCTCAGCAGTGAGATCTAGGACCAGTAACGCAGATTAGTCAAAGAATGGACACTTTTATTATCTGAGCTCTATTAGATGGGTACTTTAGTCTGAGTGTATGACTGGGCCGGGCAGTTGATGAGAACGGGGTGTGGAAAGGTTTTAAAAAAAAAAAACGCAATGAAGCTGTCACTGGGACTCAAACCCTGCCAAAAGGATGTAAGCGGGTGCTCACAAAGCAAATGAACTGCATTCGCAAGGTTTTGAAGGCACTTTTGGTGATTACTACATTACTGCACTCCTGTAGGTCATCTCATCAGAGCAGTACAAAGGAGCAAACACTGGTTCCTTCACACGCTTAAAGGGATAGTTCACCCAAAAATGAAAATCTGTCACCGTTTACTCATCTTCATGTCCTCTTTTGTGTTCAACAGACGAAAGAAGTCGTACAGGTTTGTAATGACGTGAGGGTGAGTAAATGATGATAGACTTTTCAGTTTTGGGTGAAGTGTCCCATTTAGTCATTTGTGTTATTGATGTTTGACTATACCATTGTTACTTCTCAGAAAATCTGAATGTTATCATATTGGTTTTTGGTATTACTTTTTGAAGTCTCCCCTGCATAACTGAGCTGTGATCTGTAAAACCCAGCAGTTTATTTCTTTTACACGTTTTCTTCCTGTTTCGGGCTGTGTTCACAATGTAATTAGTCTCAGCCATTTTCAATTATCAGAAAACGGAGATCAAGGGAGAAGTACTCAGTGCCGGATCATGTTACATGCCAGAACACAGTGTATTGAATTTGACCATGAGAGCTCTGCAATGAAGATCTAAATAACTCATTATTAAACATATTAACTTGCAAACAATTCACTTTCTGTTCAGATGTTATTTTTCATGTTTTGTTTGATTTGTGTGAATTGTTGTTAAACATTGTGACCATGAATTAGTTTAGTTCCCTTTGGCCATCCTGGGATGATAACACAGCCCACCATTTCCTTAGGCTGATTATCTACAGTTGTCTGCAGCATAATGTGTTTAGACCCCAAAGGAAATGCTGTCTGCTGTAAGTCTAAACTTTGCTCAATCACAACACAACATTGAAGTAACAATGAACAGCCAAAAATAGTTTAGGATAAGACTAAAAGAGCTACAGCAATGAAGGCAGTAAGGTGCAACCATGTCAATGCCTTCCAGATTTAATTTAAAATACTTTGTGACTGCAGTGATGACCTTTGACATCAACCTGTTATATTTACTAGGCTTTTGATGTTATATACAGTAAACCATTCCAGTCTCCATTTCCTTAAGCATGTATATACCAGATTAACACCCCAGAACAGGGTGTGGATGAATGCCAATGCAGCCGCACCTCTGGGCATCAGATAAGAGAAAGCATATTTTTTTTATAGCTCCTTGATGCCTGATAAAACATGGTTGTTTTGATCAAATCTACAAATTCTTACATTTTAAGTATGACATAAGCTTTGAGAATGACTTAAAGAGCAAATCCATCTTTTTGCAAGATTAAAAAACATGTTATTTCTCTTAATGTGTGAAAACCAACTAAATTTTAGACACTGATACTATATATAAATTAAGTATAGGAGAATTATGTTTATCATATGAATAACGTGTAGTTGTGCTCAGGTCAAAAGGAGGCTTTGATCTTTTATTAAATTATGAGTAAGTGATTCAGGTATTGTTAACTTCTATTGAAGATGTATGAATGGTGAACAATGTGGAATGAGGTGTATTCATGTGTCTGTGTACACAGGTGAACAATGCAAGACAAGGTGAGCTCAACCACCTGTGTATTTAGGATCTTGTTTTTCAATGTGATATTCATAAAACCCAAGACATTTAAAAGATTGGCCAAGTGGTTAATAATATCCACCTTATCAACACATGCCCTTTGTCCTATGTTAGGGAGTTTTGGAAAAGAACTGGAATTCCTTGTCTGTTTTATATTTGCCATGTGACCGCAAAAGGTCTGTGTTTTCTGTTTTTAAGCTTTAGGCGCATTTTTTGGGTGTGCCGCACAAGGGTCTTGAGTTATTCAAAAAAAAAATTTCATGCAGATAATAACTTGATTTTTTTTAATGGATATGTTTTATATTTCTGATCTAAAATAGGTCCTGTACAACACACTCTCATTTCTATTTGTGACTATTGTTAACTATTTGCAAATTGGTGGCTACAGTCTCTCTCTCTTTTTTCTTTCTATGATCTGCTTATGCCCCATTGATGGTTAAGTTTAGGGGTAGAACTTAATGTTTAGGCATACTTTTTTTCCTTAAAGATTGTATGTTTCTGTACAAATTGCATCGTACAAAATTGTTTGACAGTTGTAAAGAAACTGAAGTAGTGACTGATCTTTTCTTTCTTATTGTGATGTATTCTTTCAGATTATCCGAAAAAAAAAAGTAGGATGAGGACTTGGTTCAATTCATAATTTGTTAATTGGATTTTGGGCATTGCAAAAGTGGAGGCAGGTGAGCAGGGGCGGGGTTTAAGCAGACAAAATGATTAGAGAAGTCCTGCATATGCCATCAGAGAGACATCTGTCGTTTTCACCAGAAAGTCCAGTTATGATACTTTCATGTCAAAAAAAGAAATAAACATGATGAATTACAATAATAGCTCACAAGAATTATAGCATGCATTTTGAAGGGTGAATTTTCATTCTATATCAACTTATGTGCTGTTTTAACATTTTTACATTTATTTTATGCATGCATGCTTGTCATAGGTGATAATAACTATTAAGAATGATGCCAATTACAAACTTTGGGCAAAGTTGTTTGGCCTAATATTTCAATGCTATTTTATTCACTAAATTAGCAGTTAAGCAGTTTTCTATTCTTTACTCTATTTAATTAATCGTCCGCCAAATAAAAGTAGGAAACATTTGTTGGCTTTTTATAAACTAGTTTGATTTTTTTAGCCTACTAGTACGAATGACGATGCTCACATTCACTATAGGCATAAGTGTATGGCTATTTTCTTAATAACTAGTGAAACTGCAGAAGATAGTCACTGTTGGATTTCTAATTAAAACCAAGGGCTAGTAACATAACAGATGCTAGTTCATTTAAAGGAATAATTGCTAAAACGGCTTGCCATAAGGGGCCAACCTCTCCGCACCGTGATCCATAGGCTAGATGTTTATGTCTTATAATCATCTGTAACGTGTACTGTGGTGAAGGCTGCTGGAGCGGCGTCTCTTCACAGTGAACATAAACCTCAGCCAGACTTCAACATGGGAGGGGTGTCAGTCGTGTCGTTGGACTTTTAGAAGTTTACATGATGTTGTTTTGTTCTGTCTCATTATTTTCGTTGTTTCTTCTTCCGTACATACATTTGTAAACATTTTGAAGCGGGAAGGCGTACACTTTTCCCTGTGTGCCCGCGGACAGCGATGATGGGACAGTTGTGCTGGATGTATAGTCAGTGACAGGATGGATATCAGCGGGATCCTCTCTATTGCTGCTGTCCTTCGTTTCTCTATCGGTGTCTACGGCGAGGTATGTAAACGCAGTTTTTTGCTTTATTGATATGAGTTCCTAGTCAGCTAACAAACAGTCAGTCTAGCTGTAATTTATCCTGAAAAAATGACCGAGAACTCCTGACGTGATTCTGGGGTTTTAGTAGACAGGAGTTCAGACGGCGGCAAAAAAAGCTGGTTTATAGGCTAAATGTGACAAAAAAATATATTTTTCCCCAACTGTACTGGGCTATAAAATGGCACAGTAGGCTACATTTTTCTTCTTCTAAATGAGTAGTTAGAATGGAAGTCGACACGGAAATGAATTATGATCGCGCATGTTATGACCCTTTGACGCTTTCACTTACTGTGTGTGACATTAACGCTTTGTATCACGTGAAAGTGTGTGGTAATTGTTACAGTTGCCATTATCTTGTACAGTCATTGTTAATTTTTGTGGCGTACTTTGCCCCGAATACATTTCAGCTCTTTAAAGGATCTAAATAATAATGAGACAATGAGAGCTGTGCATATGCATATTTACATGTCCCTTATGAATCTGTTTTTATTTATTATATCTCTTATTGAAAAAAAAAAAAAAAAATTTAAACCGCCCAAATTTGGTTTCTGGTTTTGGCTGGTT